AAAATTTCATCAATTCATTCATTCTCAAGCCGAATGCGGTTGATTCCATTGGAGGTTTTCTTACATTTTCCCTTTTTGCGATTTATTCTTTGTTTTTCAATTTAAAAAAAAAACATCGTTCATGTTAATATAGTAGTTTAGGTTAACGAGGAATCAATATCACAAATCAATAGTATTTGTATACTCTTTGAAATAAAACGTAATTAATAAAAGTTTGGTAAGAGTAGTTTTCTTTTCTTTTTTACGTCGGCAAAAGAAATTATGTCGTACTTTCCTGCCCTTAAAACGTATTGATTTCAATTTAAAAAAAAAAATTGACAAACGAGTTAATTGTTATAAGTACAACAAATGTGAAACGAAATCGTAAAATATATAAATTTTGAGGAACAAGGACAGAGAATAAGAAGGAAGAGGCAAAGGAGGGCGAGAGTTCACATGTCCAAGAGAAGACAAATACATTTTTCTGACATAATCTGTCAGAGCTGATATTTTATTAATTCATTTTTCCAGACCAATTTGTAATTTATTATTATTATTAATATATTTTTTGTTTTGTTTTGTTGTATGAGAGAAATAATCGTATTGTGTAAATATTACAACAAAAGGGTAAGAGCCAGTCCACGTGGGTCCCATTGTTTTCTTTGGAAACAATTTGTTTATTATTTAGTGTAGTAAAAGGCAAGTCACGCCGGCACGCGAGGCCTCACGTGATCCCACGTGCTTTATTATTCTCTCTCTCTCTTATGCTTCCTCCTTCATTTTTCTTTGCTTTTTCTAATTTGCTAAAGAATTCAATTTTTCTTCCTGTCGAAATGTACCGAATCATCTTTTTTATTTTTGCAAAAATTTAATGTTTTTTGTTCCTTCTTCTCACGTGTTAATTTTTCATCTTTGTGACGATATTTGCAAAAGACGAATCTAGACGCCTATGCAGCATTTCTAAAAGCGGTCCACTAATGCTTTGATACCATACATATAGAATCACGTGATTGGAAATATTACTTAGGGCCGTAACATTTATGTTACTAAAATACTAACATTACATAAGCATATGCCTAGATTTGTTAATATAAATTCCAAACTCGCTATTGGTTATAAATATTTAACAACACACCAAAAAAATAGACTACTACCAAGCTTGAACCCGAACCTATTTCTTTATAATTTATAGGAAAAAAAGAAACGAAAAGGAAAAAGGAAAGAATAGATCTTTCTGGTGAGAGCGCACACACACAACAGACAACACACAATGACACAAGGTATCTAAGGGCATGACCGCACGTGTCAACATGCGATCTTTTAGTAGTAGTTTGATATTTTTTATACGTTTAAAGAAATCAAAAGAATCCAATGTAGAGAGTGATTAAAGACTACTTTGCCTTCATGTTCTGCCAATCTCTATGTATATTTTTAAATCAGTATACTAAACATTAAACAAGTTGTTTTCAGTAAAATCAACCATCTAGTAGGTCTACTTGAGGGTTATAAATCGAAGTTATCATGTGAATTTATTCCATTAAGAACATTAATTTTATTTTCTTTTGTTTACAAAGACGTTTCGCGCATTAGTAATTGTCTGAGTACGAGTCAGAGCAGCAGGTTAACTGTTTTACTCTCTGTTTGGAAGGATCAAGTTACATAATGTAAATTAGAAAGAAAAACATTAATTTGAGCTGTAAACTTTACGAATAATTATATGGTTCAAGAATGAAAATTATATTTGCATTGAGGTCCGTTATGTGTGGAAGAAGTCGTTTCTATAGTTTTGTACTTAGTTTTTGTGTATTACAAACTATAGAAATTGACTTGACTGTTAATGTTCTCAGTTGCATAGAGAAATATCGATTCAAATCTCACACATGAGATATCGTCAAGCCATCAACAAACAAAAAGATTGTTCATCTCGTCTAGCAGTCAATTTGAATTGTGAGCCAATAACATATGAGAGGATGGATTGACAATCACAAAACCATGTGGTCAAAGCTTAGTTAGGTGTACACCATATGAGCTGGACCGGCCTAATCAGAAGTCGGAACTCACTCATCCTTTTGATTTTTTTTTTATAACTTATTTGGGTTTTGAGTGTATAGATTGATAATGAATGTAGTCATTTTGGGCCCACTCACAGAGATATCTTAACCGGAAAAGACAAAAGGTTTCTTAGTCAATTTGCAATATATAGCCCATTCCACTTCAATGAGGAAGTTTAATTATAATTTTTTATGCCTTTAATAATTCCTTTGATTTGAATGTTTGGAAGTTTCTGTTTGGTTTCCTTTCACAACCGAATTCTTCGACCTAGTATTACCATCTTGTCTTTTCGTTAAGAATACTTTGTCCACATATTGACGATGCTCTTATCAAACAAATACTATAATTTATAGATTTTTAAAATTTTAATGTGCTCACTCCATCAAACGGTTATATAGTTTTCACTGCAACAAGCCAGCGATTGGGGGCAATTTGTTTTCAAAAATTCTTTTTACCATTTTTTTTTCTTCGTGAAAACAGTCATTAGGCAAATTCGTTGTCAGTTCAACATCCCCTCTAAGCTTTCCTTATTGTCAACATCTTTCCCTCCTCACAAAATTGAACATCATCATAACTGTATACATTTTAGATACAGTTAGCTACGATGTTTATTTTCTTACCATAATTAACTTGTCTACTCACTAGAGGGTTTCCTTTGTCGTCGAATTTGGATTTATATATTTATGCGGTTAACTATTCTCAATTGTTGTCTTCTGTCTCTGCTGCTCAAAATGTAAATGTGTCTGTTCAAAGCTTTGTAATGTAAAGGGAAGACAATAGGATTTATACTGGTGATGCAAGTAGGAATGAGGTCACTTTATTAGTGGGGATATTAAAAGTGTCTATTTTCTTACTGAGGAGGGTTTTACAGATGGGTGGAGAAAGCGAGAATCTGATGTTGAAGAAGCTCGAGGAGCTGAGCAAGAGCATTTAGTGAATGTCATTCTTATAATTTTTTATTTAAAGTAATACCTTTTTTGTTCAACGATATATACCTTTTCATATGATTGTACTTTTGTTTGATATAACTCTTATCGGTAAATACGTCCACATAAGTTCAAAATATCTGTTTATCTCAATATTAGCCTGAATGGGAATCAAGCAAGAAGGCTCTCAAGATTTTTAAAAGTTAAACTCTCCAAAGTAAAACTCTTCACTCCAACTAAATAACCGGCGAGTTAATTTCAAAAAAAAAAAAAAAAAAAAAAAAAAAACTGGCGAGTTGTATATTTATTTTATGTAGCAATTACCAGTCGAGAGATCTAGTTTCATATGTCTGACGTTGATCGGATTAGTTATAAGGCCAATCCATGTTAGCTCTGATTTTCAAAGAGTCAAAAAGTTGTTTAAGATTTCATTCTGTCATCAGAATGTAATGTTCTCACTTACCAGATATCAAAAACAGGGAAAATATGTGTTAATGTGTTATCTATTTTTTTTAGCTCAATCAAAGTATCAAACCGTCGTTACTTGAATTCTTGCAAATACTTAAAGAGTTAAAGGCAACAGAAGTTTCTTACTAATATAGCCCAACACAGCCCACTGTTTAACTTTTATCCATGAAGTTTCTAAGTCATAAATGAGTCCAACAAATATTTATCTCTTTGTATAAGTTATACAACCCTTAATAAGGCCCAACAAAATGCCCTTGAGATATGTAAACACCCACTAACATTAATGGGCATGGGATTAAGCCGAAAATTACGTCCACTTTACCTAAGGAACTGCCTAATCTTCTTCTGATTGATCAAACAATGCTTTCCAATCCAAGATACAAGAAAAGATTTTCCGGAAGTCCACAGAAAATTTATTGCTAATTGCCCGATATGAGAAGCAAGTTTATTATCTTTTGGAAATTATACCAGGACGGCATAATTTCAGATCGTTGGTTTAGTTAAGCATTTTTCACAATTATATCAACTCGAAAATCCCAGCATCCATATGATTTTGACTCGCTTGGGATTATTTTGATTAGTTTACGTGTACGAGTCTAGTGATAATATATTTGGACTGGACAGGCAATGAATTTGAAAGAAAAATGTTTGGACGTAATAATAGCTTTGGTCAAGTCAATTGTTGGACAGAAGACTATTTTCAATGGTTGACCAACAAAAACAGAGACACTATTTTCAATGACATATAGACAAACCTTTTTTTGTGCTCATACAAAATAAAATATCACCGATTTTTGTTAAATTACGGAAGTTCAAAGGCAATCGAATAATACTACAGAAAGACTCGATTAAAATATGTTTCGATGAGATGGAAAGTGGCTTAAGTAATCGTACAAAGCTAAGAGGATTTGATGAGAGTCTTCTTTGCTTTGTTTCTACAGCTATGACGTTTACATTGTTTGTTTTAAGATATTTGGTTTCTGGTGGTATGCTAAAGATTCATTTGCAGATCTTTATCAAGAGAATATTTTACATTTGATTATATTATAAAATACATGTATACTAAAAAAAAGTACAATAAATTCTGCACATATGATTGGTTGGATATGGTTGTCACTTTGGCAGTTAGGTCATTTTCTTGGCTTTGCTTATTTTAAAAAAAAAAACAGTCTGTAATATCTACAACTGTATAGTGTATACGCCAGACCAATTTTGTATTCCAAAATATCTATACTTTAAGTATATATTTTAGAATTTCTTATTTTATATTTTTATATGCATTGGCACATCTCTGCTTTTGCTTTACAGGGCAGCCCTTCTTCTTTCTGAAAAATATAGCATTCCATTAAAAAACAATCCATACTATAAAATAATGATAATTCAAAATCTTAAGAGTTTACAAACAATAATCAGATTCCTTAAAATTCGACCGTACAAACAAAAAAAAAACACTAATACAGAAGACAATTAAATAGTAGAAGATTAGGTTAATGATATTGTATGTAATTAAACGCTGTGCATAATAAATTATTTAAAACCAAACCAAAACACCTTTAAACCCAAAGACCACCGAAACCCACTAACAATCCAGCAACACAAATCACCCAAAAAAAACAGACGCCTCCGCCATTAAAGGACCTCTTTGCAAGAAAAAAGCTTCAACAATTTTCTAAACCCCCAAATCAGCCAAAATAGGGTTAGTCGAAGAACCCCACCGTAATTCCACTGAGGATTCGACTTCTTGCTTTGGTTTAAGGAAGAAGAACAGCAAAAACCAGAAAGAGAAGCCGAAAATGACTCAGACTAACGCCGGAGCTGGAACCGGAGCCACCTCGACGGCGGAGACTCCTCAGCCGCAGCCGCAGAGCAACGAGATGGTGCTACACACTGGAAGCTTGAGTTTTAGCAGCCACATGTCGAAAGAAGACGAAGAGATGACTCGTTCTGCGCTCTCTGCGTTTAGAGCTAAAGAAGATGAGATTGAGAAGAGGAGGATGGAAGTTCGTCAACGGATCCAGGCTCAGTTGGGTCGGGTCGAGGAAGAAACCAAACGCCTTTCCACTATTCGTGAGGTTTGATTTTTTACTCTCTTCTCAAATCAGAGAAATTGTCTGCGTAGAAAGTTTATCTTTTTGTCTGTGTAGAAATTGGGATGTATGTTGCTGCTTCTCTGATTAGGGGTTTTCCAAGATCTAGGATTTGGTCAAATGAGAAGAAATGTTTTGACTTTTTTTGTTCTTTGGGCATGAACAGTTGTTTTTTATTCGATTTGGTTGAATTATGTTCTGTTTCCAAGGCAGAGAAAGATGGTGATTTTTTTGTTGTTTCTTCTACAGGAGCTTGAGTCTATGGCGGATCCTATGAGGAAGGAAGTTTCTGTGGTCCGTAAGAAGATTGATAGTGTTAACAAAGAACTCAAACCTTTAGGTTCCACTGTTCAAAAGAAGGTAAACACACTCTCTTTCGTGATATTGTTTGCGTCGATTGATTTCATTTCGGTTCTTAGCATCATTCATCATGACTAGTTTAAGAAGAGTTTGGAATTGATAATACATACAGACCAAAGATTTGAGCTTTAGGCAACCACCTGAATCACTAAAGCAAGAAACTTTAACAATTGGACTATATGTGGAGAGACTGATACATTTTAATGGAATGAAACAGGAAAGGGAATACAAGGAAGCTCTTGATACATTCAACGAGAAGAACAGGGAGAAAGTACAGCTTATCACCAAACTCATGGAGGTTAGTTCCGAGTTCTCATTTAAAATTCAGTAAAATACGGGAATAACAATAAACCCAAGCTATTTATCGCTTATTATACATAAATGGTGTTTGGTTTTCTTCCTTGGGGAGATGGAACAGTTGGTAGGAGAAAGCGAGAAGTTGAGGATGCTGAAGCTGGAGGAGCTGAGCAAGAGCATAGAATCCGTGTGAACGTGTTGCAAGAACTAATTGGGTTTAGGATCTTTGCTTTCTTGGGTGTGATGTACCTAGTTTTACATTTTCATTTTGTAAGATGTGTGTATTCTTTAAGATTGTTGGGTGTTTTCTTTTTTATTGTTAGTTTTGCAAAATCTTTGGGGTTGGTTTGTAAAATTTGTGGGTTCTCGTATTTTTTTGATTAACCGAATTAGGGAGTGGAGAAAATGGGAAATTCTTAGGATACTGAAACTCATTACAGTGATTTTTTTTTTTTTTCTTGTTCTTTCTTCTCTGTATTATGTTTATGTATTTGTCTTTTCTTTTTTCCAAGAATTTAATTTATTTTATTTCAAATTGTTTTACTAATTTTCCGCTTTTCAGAAAAGTCTCTCGTTTGCTAAGAAAAAAAAAGGAAAAGAAAAGTGTATCTCGCGTGCTCTTTTGAAGCTAAAAGCTGTCGGAACGGCAGGATCCTCGACGTTAAATAAACAAAATAACAAAAATGTAAACAATAACAAGAATAATTCTATATGAATCCCAATCATGAACCAAAGAAATATTAAACTATTTCGTTGATTTAACCAAAAATAAACCTACATCTGGTTAGTTTGAAGTTTTAACGAATACCCCATCACTTTTCCAATATGCCAAAATAGTTTTGATCAAAGGCTGTCAAATTGTTATGTTTGCCATATGTTCCATTTTGATGACTTTCTGATGCTTCTTTTTCTTTGCATTCTTCCCTTTTTATAGCAGTCCTTTTAGTCAGTTTTAAGTATCCATATGTGCATTTTGATGTCTTTAAATATTTTTAGATGTCTTTAGGAGTCTTATGATAGCTACGCTGTAGGTGCTTTGAGAGGAGCTTCAATCTCAATTAGGATGTTACCAAGGAGTTCAATTACAATTAGGATGTCAGGATTACATCTTCCACACAAGTTTGCTTGGTGTATTCATGATTTACCTTCTAACTGATCAGAAGCAAAATTTGTTTGTAACGGATGGTATTTTTTTTTTTCTTTTCCAGCCAAGACTTTGAGAATTGAGAGTGGAAAGCTTACTGGAACTACTGGATCATGCGGGATTAGCCAATGTTGGTCTTTGATCTCCACAAATGGCCTTCTAGCTACGTTGCCATCTTACTTAAGACTTAGTCAATATATTACCCTCCACAACAACTACTGTTTAGAAATTGATAGACGCATTTCTACAGAGGTCCTCCATTTCTAATAGGAAGGGACATTACACAAAACATTTAGCAACAGATCACTTCAGAGTCATTTCTGAGTTGGATTTGGGAAACTTGTTGGGTCCATCCGTCCATGTTAACCTTTCTCTCTCTCATTTTGGTCCTCAATAGTAAAAAAGAACAATTGTTTGAGGCTCATTTCTTTTGTCCCTTGTGAATATATTGCCAACGCGCGTTAGAGCATTTACATTTAGATATTTGAGTTATGCATCTGTGATGATTGTTTGGGTTTTACATCACTATGTGCAATACACATTGTATTCTTAGCGTAGATACTAAATTGGGGTTTTCAAACAGTGAGTCTTTCGTAGTTTTCATACCGCATAGGCATAGCTAAAATGATATGTTTTCTACTTATTTTTCTAATTAATTATTTGACCTTGAAATCTTCGTGAGACGTGTGTTACTTAGTTTTAACATAGTGGAGAAAAAATCACTATAAGTTCATACCCAATTGTAGTAATTCCACTTGCTATCATTAGGGCCTTAAAATTATACCCATTTTTTTGGCTACAAAAAAAAGAGTGATATCGATTTACTAGTGTAGATCAATTAATAATATATAGATACATTTACTTCTTGTTTTTGTTAATAACATTTACTTTTTCGTTTTCAAATATATATTCTACTACGAAAAAAGAAAAAATGATTCAGGATTTTGTTATTTTTTCATCATTTTGAGGTAAACTGGAAAATGTTATGCCGATTTTTTGGAATGTGAAGAAATTAAAACTTATTTTTATTTCTGTTTAAATGTCTATGAATGCAAAAAAAATAATTAACACTAAGATTTCGTAAATGAGAAGATTCCATCTTTGATCTATACCACTTCTTATTTTTTACATTCATCAAATTAGTGAAATTAGTATTGCGTTATTTAATAAATTCGACCAAACGAAAACAAAAGAATCGGGGTTTCGTTTATTAAAGCGTGTACGTATTAGAAATTAGCGTCAATCCAATATCATGAGACAATAATGATAAAACAATGAAATAAAGACAAGTGATTTATTCGTTGCAACGACCGTTTTTTTTTTGCTTTATTTGGTTGGCGTGGGTATGCACATATTGAATACGCCAGGCTCTGCCTTATATATATTTCTTCGTATTTTTTGCTTTTTTGCTTTGTTCATTTTCATATATTCATTTTTTGTCTTGTTGTATTTGGTACGTTAAGTACTTAAGTTTATGTCATCAAGACAATTAAAAAAGAAATCCTTTACAACAAACAAGACAATTTTTTGTAAAAAAACAAACAAGACAAGAAAAAATAAAACAAGATCGGCATGCAAGTTTGTGCTTTTGTTCATCACTGATTTTAAGAGACAAAAGTGTACGCACCATGATATAAAACTCGAAGTATGATTTTCTTTTATGTCGAATTATTTAGATAGGCCACGTACATTCATGTCGAGAGGCGCCTTTGCCCTTAGGATTCTCAACGAGTCTCATGACCTTGTGCTTTGTCTGCCTCTAAATTATTGACAGTTAATTTGGCTGCTACGTTAATGGCAATTCTCTCTTCCATACAAACTTTTTCACTGTCTTTTTTACTGTCACTTCGTACGGTTCCACTATTATTTTAAGAGCAAAATATAAAGTTGTCATGAGATGTTAGGAACTTGGAAGAAAACCAGTATGGTATTTATGTATTTTTCTTGGTAAGGACAACAAAACTTACAGGTGATCGATACTTCTGTGCATGAGGTTTTTGAAGATGTCATGATTTGAATTGTGGACCAAAACTTAACTTTAAGAGATGGGTTTATATTTGTTTAACAATGTGTATGGACTATATATATATCCAATGAATGACACTGTCGTCTGTCTACGTAGTTTGGGCGATAATGCGTCTAGCAAATATTTCCCAAAAGAGGTTAACTAGGAATATCATAATTTAATTGATATTGTTTGTTTGCAAGTTGAGACTATACTATTTAATATCTAGGTACAACTCCAACCCTAAATCTACATCTAAAAAGTATTATATTACAGTATTCGTCGTATCGTACTGTGTTAATTCAATAATATTTTATTCGCTCATGTCTTTTCCCTACGTACTAATGGGATTTTGATTAGAAGAATGTTTAAGATACCACATTAAGAATATATGAAGGTTTTCATTTTATGTTCATATAACAAATGAAAAAGCTAAACAACAATGAAGAAAGAGCATGAATTAAAGATCAAGGATGCATCTCAGATAAAACAGTGCAGTGGTCGCAATTCTCATGGTACAACAAAATCTGAGGAACAAAGGATAAGGTACACTGAATTTGAATTGAGCTAGTGACACTATTTCATTCATTTAAAACTCATCAAAAATGTTGTCACTCAATATTAATGGCTATACATTTAAGTCTAGCATTTTTGAAAATACTAATACATTCAAAGAGCTAAAACTTTAAGTGTCTGGAGGTTTCTGTTAGTGTTTATTTAGTTTAGCATTTTCGGAGCATTACAAATAGCAACCAATTTGAACAATTAGTAAGAAAATAATGATATTTTGTTCTATTAGATTTCCTTCAAAAGATAACATTAAGTCAATAGTAGAAGAAACTTAAGTACACAATCAAGCTTAAAAAAATGTGAATAACCAAAGCTTAAATAACCGTGATAAGAAAGTATATGTGCATTTATTAACACTTACAATTAAAAGTGGTTTCCAAATAATTTCAAAATAAAGTTGCTCTCTCGCATGGGAGCCATATATATTATATATATTATATAAAGTATATGTGCATTTATTTTATCCACTTACACGTTTCAATAACGATTGTTTTTTTAGGGTTAAAATCCGTCGACCGTCGTATTATTTTATTTTGTTGTATATGAGATTAAATTTATAAATAAACAGAACGGTACGGCATGATTTGCGCTAAAGTAAGCATGTTCTATTTTTTTTTTCTCTTTTTCAGATATATGGGAGAACACGTATTGTTTCGTTGATATATCTGAGTAATTCATGTTGATAAAACCATTGAACAGGTCGGAAAGATCCAAGCCTTATTATGAAAAGGATTCTGAACCCGACCTCCAAAAAAAAATATATATATACGAATTACGAAAGAAACAAATGGTCACACAGTTTGATATAGTGAGACGGCCAGCATCATTTATAAGAAACACAAACCTTAGGACAAATTAAATCAGCCAAACCTTAATTGGGTCATGACAACGTATTTGGGAAATTAAGCACCACAACTATCAGAATATAGGATAGATTTGGATTGTATTTCCCGGTTATAATATAAAACCGGTTTACTTGGTTCATTTCTTTCCATATATAAGATAAACAATGTAATAACATTCATTGATGAATAACAGAATTTTTTTTCCCAATTTCATCTTCTTCGTTGACTCTACACAACTAATATGGTATCAGAGCATTGAGGGTTGAAACCTCAAGCTGATTCTGGAATCTTCCGTTCGTTTCACTCGTTTCTTTTGACCTAGATCCATCGGAGATTCTCCCGATCGATCATTTTCTGGATTTTCTCATTCGATTCTGGTTATTCCGCCAAGAATCACTAAGTTCTGTGAAAATCACACATTCTGAGCTTCGAATCTGTTACAATGGTGGTCGTTCTTCGCAAAAATGCGCGTCGTACCAATAGAGCAGCATCGTCGTCTCGTCGAGCATCGATATCTGAGGACTTCTCTCCAGAAGAAGCAAATCCTCCGATTTCTCCGATTCAACATCAATTCTCGATGACGGAGTCTCCGGATAGCGTTCATTCACCATTTTACCTCACAAATGGCGATAATCCGGGTCTGTCTCTTATACCTGAGGTTCTTGATGGATCAAACTATGATAATTGGCGTATTGCTATGACTATCGCTTTAGATGCTAAAAACAAACTTGCGTTTATCGATGGATCTATAGTGCGACCTAATAGTTTGCATCCTAGCTTCAGGATTTGGTCTAGGTGTAATTCGATGGTGAAATCATGGCTTCTGAACTCAGTTAGTAAGCAGATCTATAAGATTATTCTGCGTTATGATGATGCATCAGAAATCTGGAAGGATCTGTTTACACGATTTCACATCACAAATTTGCCGAGATCC